AAACATATTTCATCCAGTTTTTCTCAGTCTTACCCCCACCCCGATGCCAGCCTCATTCTACAACAGTGGCACCATATAGCATTTGTCCCTTTGTGACAGATACCTCACTCAGCATAATGTCCTCCAGGGTCACCCATTTTGAATAATATTGTTCACTAACTTTTACGATCCTGATTTCTTCTCCTCAAAATGAGATGTGGGACATTGTATTTTTTTAATTGTGTGATGCCATTGACCTTGATGTCTTCAGGACCAGTCATGGTTATTTCAGGGTGTTTGGTTCTGATTAAGAAGGTTGCATAGCTTTGATCTCCATTGGCACTACTCTGTACATGCATATATATATGTATATCATATCTATCTATCTATCTATCTATCTATCTATCTATCTATCTATCTATCTATCTATCTATCTATCTATCTCTGTCTGTCTATCTATCTGTCTATATTATCTGTCTGTCATGTTTGGCAGAGTCAAGGGGCGGTGAAGGAGAGGAAGACCTTCGATGAGATGGATCGATTCTGTGACTGGAGTGGTGGGATTAAGTGCGTTTGAGATGGCGAGGTTGGCACAGGATAGAACAGCATTTAGAGGCTATGAGTCGCAAACGACTCGATGGCACGTAACAACAACAACAACAATAATATCTGTCTATCTATCTATCTATCTAGCTAGCTAGCATCTATCTATCTATCTATCTATCTATCTATCTATCTATCTATCTATCTATCTATCTGTCTATCTATCTATCTATCTCCTATATATCATATATATGCATAGACATGCATATGTATATGTATATCTGAAGCATATACTAAGAGACAAGGATGGTGAAACTTCATCTCCAGTATTTTGGGAATATTGTGAGGAAGGACCAGTCCTTGGAAAAAGACATCGTGCTGGGAAAGATAGAAGGTTGGAGAAAGAGAAGACCTTCAGTAAGATGGAGTGACACGATGGAGTGAGGATGAGGAGGGCTCAGCACGGGAAAAGGTTCAGATCTGTTGTTCATTGCTGTGAGCCAATGGCGCCCAACAACGTATACTAACGTGAATGTAGAAACATCACCTGTCGAATGTTTGTAGAGTCATGAGTGTGGTCTTTGCTGCGCGTCTGTAGTCTTACCTGCCTGTCTGTCCATCTGCTTGTAGCTTGCTGGTTATAATTGATAATATTGCAGGGTTATGTATGTAGTAGTAGTTACCGTAGTTGATTGTATTTCTGTGTACTTCTCTGTGTTTTTTTCTGTCTTTATTAGTGCCATACTGATCGTCCCTTATCATATATTGATTGCTTTTGTTTTCACTCATCTTAAAACGTGTCTTATTGTCTGTTTACTAGTCTCCAGTCTCCTCTTCCTCCCTTCCATTCCCTGGAAACTAGCCAAGAATGAATGTTTCTTCCTATGTCTAAACTTTTCTTTGGCTTTCTGTAATAGTGGACTCCTCCAGTATTTTACATTTAATGGCCGCTTTATTTCACTCAGAATAGTGCCATCTAGTTAGGGAGCTCTGATGGCTTAGTGGTAAGAAACCAAACTGCGATCCTGAAGGCATGCGGTTCAAATCCACCAGCTGCTCCGTGAGAGAAGGATGAGCAATCTCCTCCCATGCGATTAACTGCCCCTGAAAACCTGCCGGAGGGTCGGCTACGGGTCAGTTCCAACTCGGTGGTACTTCCCAACCAGCTTCATCATCCATCTGGGCTATCGGGATTTTGAGTATTCTTCATTCTTCTTTAGTGTTGCATAGTATTCCATCATGTGCATGTACCATAGATTGTTTATACACTCACCCACAGATGAGTATCGGTTTTGTGTCCATCTCTTTGCTATTTTAAATAATGCTACAGTGAATATTGTTGTTGTCTTGTGCCATAAAGTCGCCTGTGACTCATAGCGACCCTATTTATAACAGCCCTAAACCCTGCCCCATCCTGTGCCAATCTTACTGTCTCTGTCACTCCTCACTGAATCAATCCACCTCATAGAGGGTCTTCCTCTCCGACGCTGTCCTTCCACCCTCCCAAGCATGATGTCCTTCTCCAAGGACTGGCCCCACCTTGCAACATGCCCAGCGTATGTCAGACAAAGCTTCAGAATCCTTGCCTCCAAGGAGTGGCCTGATCTCACCCTCTCTAGGAAGAACCTATTTGTTCTCCTAGCAGTGCACGGTACATCCAATACTCTTCTCCAGCACCACAGATCAAAGGCATCAATTCCCTAGTCATTGTCCAGCTCTCTGACAATGAATATGGATATGCAAATATCATTTGCATCCCAGGTCTTACTTTGTTAGGATAATTGTTTTTTTTAGCTTAAAAAAAGTTAGCATATACATTTAAAGCAACATGTCTCTTCACAGTACATGCTACCTTTTTAATTTTAAAATTTCAACCCTGTGCTTAAAATTTGGTTACTTGTTCTTTGTCTTGATTCTAATAGTGTTTACTTAGCTGTGCATATTTGTCAGACCACATGAAATGAGTGCATTTGTGTGTTTTTTATTGTTTGTTAAGGATTGTTTTAAATATATATTGTATCAGATATACTGGTGTTTAAACATATGCCATCCCATTAGTCTCCACATACACAGTTAATTGCCATTAATTAGGCTCCCTGTGTTGTGCAATCATTACCTTAACCAGTCCTGAGTTTTTCCATCGCAAGTGAATACCTTTTATTGTATATGAATAGTTTTTTTGTTGTTATATGTTCTTGAGTCTCCTGCAACTCATAGCATATATAAATTACAACTCAAGAAACACCCCCAAATCCCACTGACACTGAGTGGGCTTCAACTCATAGTAGTAACTAGCTTTCAGGTTTCTTCCTGGATACAAATCTTTCTCCTTTGGAGTGGTTGTAAATTTTTCCTCTCTTGGAATGGCTGTTTGAATTTATACCTCCAACCTTTGGGTTAACTGTCTAACATATAATATACTGTCTCACCAGAGCTCCTTAATTCAATAAGGCTGAGTTTTTTTATGAATTTTTTTTAGTGTGTATACCATCAAATCGGATCTGACAGGTACAGGAGGAGATTGCCCCTCTTATCCAGCAGAGCATCTGGTGGATTTGAACCATGTACTTAAAAGACGAATTGCATTGGGAAAATCTGCTGTCAGAGACCTCTCCGAGGTACTGAGGAGCAACGATGTCAGTCTGGAGACTAAGGTGCAACTGATACAGGGCATGTAGTCTTTGCCATTATTTGCTATGTATCAGAGAGCTGGACAATGACTAGGGATGATAGAAGGAGAGTTAATGCCTTTGAACTTTGGTGCTGGAGAAGAGTATTGAATATACCATGGACTGCTAGGAGGACAAACAAGTTCGTTCTGGAGAGGGTGAAGCCAGGCTGCTCCTTGAAGGCAAGGATTCTGAAGCTTTGTCTGACATACTTTGGACATGTTACAAGGTGAGATCAGTCCTTAGAGAGGGGCATCATGCTTAGGGGGGTGGAGGGACAGTTCAGGAGAGGAAGACCCTCAAAGAAATGGATTGATTCAGTGACTAGGGTAACTGGGGTGAGTGTGTCAGAGACAGTGAGATTGGCACAGGATAGAGCAGGGTTTAGGGGAGGCTGTACATAGGGCTGCTAGAAGTCGAAAGCAACTCGATGGCACATGACAACAACAACGTCCACCACCACAACCTCTGGGATTGCAATGCAGCTTCTTGCCACTAGGCCACCAGAGCTCCCGAATAAGGTTGATTTTTAAAAATCCTTATTACTGGAAACCCCCCGAGTTGAAGCAATTCTATTCATTACTTTAAGTTCCTCTCTGATTGCTCTCATGGCACAACTATGTGTTTTTGGTACACACAGTGTGTTCCTGATGTTGTTGTTGTTGTTGTTGTACAACAGCTCTAAACCCTGCTCTGTCCTGTGCCAATCGCATTGCCTCTGATACACCCATCCCGATTACCCCAGTCACTGAATCAGTCCACCTCATAGAAGGTCTTCCCCTCCTGCGCTGTCCCTCCACCCTCCCAAGCATGATGTCCCTCTCCAAGGACCGGTCCCTCCTTACAACATGTCCAAAGTATGTCAGACGAAGCCCCAGAATCCTTGCCTCCAAGGAGCAGCCTGGTTTAACCCTCTCCAGGATGAATCTGTTTGTTTTCCTAGCAGTCCATGGTATTCTCAATACTCTTCTCCAGCACCACAGGTCAAAGGTGTCAATTCTCCTTCTATCCTCCCTAATCATTGTCCAACTCTCTGATGCATAACAAGTGATTGCAAAGACCATAGCCTGTATCAGATGCACCTTAGTCTCCAGAGTGACACCATTGCTCTTCTTCTTGGTGGTCGCTGCTGTTTCTTTAATAATTCTGCATCCTTATTTCCCCATATCAGTTCTACCAACATACGCATTTCAATCACAGTACAGTGATGGTGATGCTGTTCATTGCTGTCCAGTCAGTCCTGATGCTTGGCCACTCCAATGTAGAACCGTGCTCCATTGGATTTTCAGAGCTCCCCCCTTTTGTACACAGCTTTCCCAGTCTGCCTTCTGAGGTGCCTCTGGTTATGTTCACACAGTTTGGCTAGTAGTTGAGTGTTTGTATCACTTAGGAACTCCTCTGTAGAGTGATCAAACAAACAAACAAACAAAAATCCAGACCCAGCCATCTAGTCTGACTCCTGGTAACCCTTGATTGCATGCCCGAGCTTGCACATCTTAATGAGAGGAAGCAATTCATCTTCCTCCCACAGAGTGGCTAGTCCGTTTGAACTGCTGACCGTTTACTTTGCAGCATGATGTGTAATGCACTATGCTATCAGCTATTAAGTGGGAAATGTGGTCTGAGACAAGGTACAGTTGATTACAGAGACTAGAAATGAGACATACCCACTTTATTGCCTTTCTCCCATCCAAGTACGAATCAGGGCCAACGCTCCTTCACTCCAGAGATCAGAACGAAATGGATGCATTTAGGGACATATGATGCTAGGCTTCATTGCCTTTCTTATTTAACCTGGCTCTTCTTCCTTGGCATGGGTTCCCACAGAAAAGCAGAAGAAGCCGGAACAGCCAGTGGGGGAGGTGCTGGACGAGCTGCGGGCCAAGTTGAAGTGGACCCAGGAGGCTCTGGAAGCCCAGAAGGAGGCTGAGCGGCAGAGGCAGCTGCAGGTGGGTGGGGAGAGGAGCCATCAGGAGCATAGGCCAAGGTCATGGACCAGCCAGGAAATCTGTGAGGTGTCTGTATCTCCTGTGAGGTGTTTGTATCTCCCAGGGCCAGGATTCTTGCTGGCTTTTCCAGAGCTGGGCTGATTCTTTTCTGGACTTGGCAAATGATTTTAGGTGCAAATGATTTTAGGTGACCTGGAAAGGAAAATGAAAAAAAAAACAAAACCCACAAAACTACAGCCTACAATATAGATTATATCTCAACATCAAGAAAACAAAATGCCTCCCTATTAGGTCAAAGATAACATGATGATTGATGGAGAAAGGATTGAGGTTGTCAGTGATTTCATCTTGCTTGGCTCCACAACCAAGACCCTTGGTGCCAGCAGTCAGGAGATCAAGAGAAGTTGCATTGGCAACATCTGCTGTCAAGGACCTCTCGAAAGTGCAAAAGAGTAATGATTTCAGCTTAAAGACTAAGGTGTACCTGATCAGAATCCTGGTCTTTTCAGTTCCTTGCTGTTGGGCAATGAATAAGGATGATAGAAGAAGAATTGACAACTTTCGAGTTCTGAATATTCCGTGAATTACAAAAAGAACACACAGATATGCCCCAGAGAAAGTGTTACCAGAGTTCTTCTAGGAGCCAAGGATGATGATGCTATATCTCACATAATTTGGACATGTTTTCAGGAGAGGCCAGTCCTTAAGAAAAGGACATCATGCTTAGAAAAGTGGAAGGTCAGCCTAAGAGAAGAAGACAGACACACACAACAAGATGGACTGACACAGTGACTGTAACAGTGGACTTATGTATATCAGAGATATTGAGGACGGCATACCAGAGGCGAAGTTCACGTCTGTCATTCACAGGAACTCTTGTTGACCTGACATTACAGAACAACCACCACCACCACCATCGACATGAATGGTCAAACGTGGAACAAGAGAGTCACAGTCTCTGACACACTTCAGTGTCCTCTCTGGGCCTTGGAACCTAAATGTCAACTTCTTATATTGTCTGTTGTCTATTAGTTCTTTGAGAACAAGGGCTAAGCCTGATTCTAAAAGCTCCAAGACCCAACTAATATTTATAGAAAGAAAATATGTAACATGTTGTTGGGGAACGTTGGGGAGGAGGAAGAGGCCTCTGGTCAGGGCAGATCGCCTAGCTCTGTGTAAGTGCAAGCCTATCTGACCCATCAGCTCTTTTTTTTTTTAAGTAAGCACAATGGCTATTTATTACTTTTTAAACACACGGTCTTGCGGAAATGTCTTTAGCAGTGTTTGTTCAATAAATGCATAATGCTTTCTAAATCAGCTCAGCTGACTCTCATCCCCCCACCCCTCTGGATTTTAATAAAGCCTTTTTCTCTTAAAACAATCTGCGGCCCCCACTCCCAGGCGCAGTGGCCAAGGGCGTACCTGCTGCTCTCTGCGAATCCCCACCGCACTCGCTCTGCACCAGCAGCCGGTGGCATTGTGGGAACCGCAATCCCATTTAGATCTGCTCTACCCAGTCAGCTATCCAATAAGTCAGTTGATGAACTATTCCACACTGGCAGTTAACCCATCAGCTCTTAATGCGAGCTAGAGAAAGCTCTCCTGTGGTCTGCACTGGGCTGAGGTTCTTCTGTCCAATCTGCATATTCTACGGTCACAAATCCACCCCATCCTGTCTTCCTGTTTACTCGCCTGTATATTAGCACACTCAGTAAAGATGAGTCAGCTCTGCGAAGCACTCCTGAAATGGTGTGTCTCCGTTGTGCTTACCCCCGTCAAGGTGTCGTTGCTCCCCGCTGACAAACAGACAACGGCAACTTGTTTCATTCATTCCATCGTAGTTCATTTACTCAGCGTGTATGTATTGAGCTCCAGCTATGCTGGGCATTGTGAAGGACGTAAAGAGAGAGATGACATGACCTATCGTCAGAGAACCTTACAGGTTAGAAAAGACTCTGGCTCACCCCAAATTCAAACAGTGGGGACTGTGGGACAGGTGTTCTTTGGTGTTTACAGTGACTTGCCTGGATAAGGGACCCTAACAGGAGGACCTGGCTAAATACTTGTCATCATGCAGAAGAATTAATGATTCCATTGTGATTGCATTTTTCTTTCCTTGTAGGAAGCAGAGATGATTCAGCAGAGGGAAGTAGAAGATAAGAGAAAATTCGAGGAATGGAAACAAAAAGAGAAAACCAAGCTGTATGAGGAAATAGACAAGTTAAAGCAGTTGTTCTGGGATGAGTTTAAAAGCGTTGCCAACCAGAACTCTACGCTTGAAGAGGTACCTAATGTAAAGTTTTTCAGAGTTCTTTCATTGAAATGCCGCTTGTTTGTTCTGAAAGTTTCTTTCTTAGTTTGCCTGAATGTTATCTCATGGGCCACTGGGGGCTGGGAGGCCAGATAACAGAGACTGAAGGCTGGATTTGAGTTCTTGGATCCATGCATAATGACTATGTGACCTTGTCCAAGTTACAAAACTTCTCTGTGCCTCACCTTCTTTTTTGCAAGCTAGATTACAGAAAGATTTAAGTTAGCGCACAGTTTCTTTCTTTTTTTTT